CACCCACCCGCCCATCCATCCACCCACAAATCCATCCTCCCTCCCCAGCTCTTTCTTTCCATCCATCCATCTATTCATTCATTCATCCACCCTTTTTGCCTTAAGGAAAAGAAAACCAATGTGCCCCACCACAGCCCTGTGACACTGGCCTTGGCAGTTGCCGACCCCCTGGGAAGTGGTTAACAGTCTCCCACTAGCATGAAATCGCACTTAAGGGAGCCCGGCCTCAGGGGCTTGTGGTTTCTGAAGGCCACACCTCTGATCCTCTGGTCACAGGTCACACTGGTGGGTCCTCAGGGCCAGGCCCATCTCTCTCACTGCCCTCAGAGGCTCAGGCTCCCCTGGTCAAGCCTACCTTGCCATTGGCCCCTCTCCTGCCTCCCCACTGCCCTCGACTAGCCCGTCTTCAGGCCTCATCCAATGCCTGGGCCCCCAGTAAGACTTAGCCAACTCATCCTCCTAGGTGACCCTCTGCGATGCCACCCTGTCCCAGCACAGACATATCACTGCCTTCATCATAAGGATCTCTCCCCAGCTGCCCACCACACTGAGCTTGTTGGGGCCGAGTCTACCCACCCTGGGTCCCGAAGATGACAAAGACATGGCGGCCCCAATCCATCCCACGGGCCTGGCCCCCCAAGGTGCCCACAGGCCCCCTGACCATGGGCAGGGAGGGCAAGGCCACCCACCTTGCCCTTCTTCGGTGGCTCGATCTTGGTCAGCGCCTCCTTGGTGTGGGCCTCCAGCAGGTCCAGGTTGGGGATGGTGGGCGAGGCCGACCCCCTGCACTTCTTCCCTTTCTTCTTGCCCCCATCCTTGAGCTTCAGTGACTTGGGGGGCTTCGGGGGCTTGGGGGGCTTGGGGGGCTTGGGGACTTTGGCTGACTTGGGCATCTTCATGGTTTTGGGAGTCTTTTTTTTGGACACTTTCTCCAGGAAGGACCGAGGAGGGCTGGCCTCAATGGGGGACGGGGGCTCTTCCTTCTCTCGGTCCCCAAAAGAGACCTCATCCGAGGAGATGGCTGTGGTCACTTCGGGTCTGGCAGCCTTGGAGGCATTCTAGGGAAAGGAGAGGGACAGGTGACCAACTACCTCCTCCCAGGAGGGTCTCACAGCCCCAGGCCTCAAGGGAGGCCTTGAGGGAGACACTCAAGCAGAAAAAGAGCATCTGTCTACACCATCGTGTGACACCCTCACATCCATCTACACCATCCTCGTGACATACATCCATCTACACCATCCCTGTGACACACTCACATCCATCTACACCATCGTGTGACATGCTCACATCCATCTACACCATCATGTGACACACTCACATCAGTCCCACACCAGCTGGGCGACAGGGTGCCATGCGTCTACACCATCAGCCACTTGACCCTCTGCCTCCTTGGTGGGGACCGCTGTCCCACCCTGAGGCATGGAGAGGCTGAGGGCTGTCCAGGTTCACTCAAGCAGCGTCTCAAGGGGCTGGGATCATCTCCCCCCAGAGTCCACCCCGCGGGGAGCTGCAGAAGAGCCCACCTCTATTCCCTATGCTCCCGCCAGGAGACCGCTAGCCAGCCATGGGGGAGCCCAAGCCCCCGTCATGCAGGTGAGCCCGCCCTGGGGCGCAGGGGGAGGAGCTGTCTGGGACATGGCCATCTTTGCAGGCAGCTCTGGGGAGGGCCAGGGAAGATGGGCAGAGCCTCCCTAGGCCGGGGTCAGCGGCCCGGGGTCAGCCCCACCTCGCTGAGCCGGATCTCCCTGGCGAGGTCTTTGATGAGCTGCGAGGGCTTGAAGTGCTCTGGGAGTTCATCCTCATGCTCCGCCAAAGCCTGCAGGACAGCCACGCACGGGGTCAGCGGGTCAGCCGCCGAGTCTGGGCCACACTCGCCTCCACCCCTCTCACCAGACCCCATGTAGGCTCAACCTCGGTGGCTCCTGACTCCCACCCTCTGTCCCTCCAGGCCGTCCCCCACCTCCCACACTGCTATCCAGACAAGCTTGGGGGCAAGGGCTGCCACGGTGTGGGGGGTCCTGGAGGAGTTGGCCCACTCTGCCAGACGCGGCCTTGACAAGCAGGCTCTGCTGTGACCCCCGCTCCACAGGTGGAGAAACTGAGTCTCAGAGAGGACAAGGCGCCCGAGGCCACCACCAGCTGTGGAGCGGATGTGGTCCATCCCTTCCTCCTGGACATGCCACGGCACCTTCTGGGCCCAAGGCTGAAGTGATGAGGGAGAGACACCCTGCCCCACTCCAGGCCTGGAGACCAGAGGAGACAAGGCCACAGGACGGCCCTGGGAGGGCACTGGCCGCCCACCCCACCCGCCCGCCTGTAAGAGCAGCAGGAAGTGCACAAGTGACCCTCCTGGCCTCCCACCAAGGCCTCCTGCAGGCCTGCACGCCTGCTCCAACTGTGTTGGCTCCCCGGACCGGGAGGGAGCCCCCGGGTGGGGACACTGCCCCAGAGGATGCCAGAGGCTGGCGGTACCCCCTCCCTCTGTACCAACAATCCAGGCAAGGCGCCTAGGAGAGTCGGAAGCCACGTCTCTGGGGCTTCCATTAGGAGGAGCAGCTGATGTGTGGGCGCTAGTGAGGGTGCTAACACTCCACCGCGGGGCCGAGGGAGGCCCGGGGCAGCGATACTGTGGGGCCATGGGGGACCCAGGGGAAAAGACTGCCCACGTCACAGAACAAAGCCGGCCTCTGAGCTCACGCCTAGGCCACCCGGAAAGCCAAGAAGGTGTCTCAGCTCTCCTGTCCAGAGCCTGACACCTGGTCATCTGGCCAGCGGCTGCCCCGAGCCCTCTCCGCTCCAGCCATCCTGGGTTCAGGCAGCGCTGTCTCCACCACCCACCTTCCTGCCACTGGCTCTCCCGGCCCCCCAGCCCCCACCTCTCAGCTTGGGCCCCTGGCTGGAGGGCTCTCTCTTGACCCGGGCAGGTGGCACCCGCCTACTCCTCAAACTCCTCCGCACTGAAGGAGGGACGACCCCTGGGGATGGCCCCCGCCTGCCACCCCCCCGCCCCACCCAGCACACCCCCCTGCCCTAGCCCCCTGCCCCGGCACACGCCCCACCCCGCCCTGCCTGGCACACCCCCTGCCCCGGCACACGCTCCTACCTGCTTTTTCGTCCATGACCTGAAAGCACCATTGAGAATTTTCGCTCCTTGGACTAGATGAGGGGGCAGCTGCTTCCCGGATTTGTGAGAACCTGGGGGAGACGCAGGAGTTTGCTCAGGTGGGCGCCCACCCGCCCTCTCCTGCCCCCGCAGGCGACTCCGCCCCCAGTGGGTGTGGTCAGGGCCCAGCCTCCCACCGCCACCTGTCCAACTGCCAACGGCTCCTCTTGGAACCTGGGGGGACTGGCCCTCCCACCATCCACCCTCCAGGTCCCTACACAGGCAGCCCAGTGCCCCTCCACCTGGTCCCCAGCCCGTCTTGGCGAGGGGCCACAGTTGCGCCCCCCACGTCAAGCCTCCCAGGCGGTTTCTGACTCCCACCCTCACGTGGCCCCTGCGCAGCTGAGGGACACACGCGGTGGGGCCGGTTCCTGCTGGGGCGGCCCAGGGCAGGCCCCGCCTGAAGGATGCTCTTGGAGGCCACAGCCAGCCCCACAGCACAGGGACAGAGCGTCCCCCCTTCCGGCCAGAGAGCTCACCCTGAGCTGGGACGCCGCCAGGTGACGGTCTGCCTGGCCTGCAGCTGCACCCTGGGTCCCCTCGTCCCCAGGCCCTGTGCCGCCAGCCTTCACAGAGCAGGGCCTGAGGCAGAGGCGGGGCACCCAGCACAGCCCAGCTGGTCAGCTGTCACCCAGACTCAAGCCATCAGGGGACTCGAGCTGTCAGGCCATCCCCAGCATACGGCTCCACTCGTGCTGCCCCCACCTCACCTCCCTAGCACAAGGTCCCCAGGCTCCCTCTGCCAGGGTGGAGCTCAGGCTCGAATTTGGGGAGTGATGGACAAATTTCAGTGAAAGAATTTCAGTGAAACCTGGCCAGCTCAGGTGTAGGACCATTTTCCTCTTTTCCTCCCAAACTAGAGCCGAAGGGCAGAGAGGCCTGACAAGGCGTGTCCTCGTAGCTCTTATCTGAGCACAAGGAGCAGCTTCCAGAAGGGCACCGTTGAAAAGGGAAACGCCACAGAAGAAGACGCTCCCCCTGGTCCCCCCACTCTGCTGTGAGAAGGCTGGGGACCTGAGCAGGCGGGTGGCCACCAGGAGCCACGTGCTGAGCCCCAAGGCAGGGCCTAAGACGGAGGGTGGCCGGGTCCACGGAGGTCAGGGACCCACCTGCCCAGAGCCCACCCTGCCCGGTGGGCCTTTCATGGGGAACCCTGATGCACACACACAACGGTGGGCATGCAGTCCCTCGGCTGGAAGCCCAGAGCCAGGCAGACCCCCTCAATGTCCCTCCCGTGCCTGTCAGTAACCACGCAAGGCCATGGGCTCTGAGCAGGACGCACACCAGGCCTGGGAACACGCAGCCGCTGCCATTTCTGAAACACTGGACGGCCTTGAGGACAGGAGTCCAGCCCAGCCCCGCACTGCACAGAAGGGGAGGCCGAGGTCAGGGAGCTGAGGGACTTGCTCAGGCCTCAGGAAGGCAGCGCTCTGCCCACCCAGGGTCCTGATGCCCAGCCTCATGAGGGCAGAGCTGCTCCCCATCCCCGCATCCCCGAGCTGCACGCCGACACACCGCCCAGGGCCACAGGCCCAGAGCCGACGGGACGTACCCTTGAACGCCTCCAACAGGTGCTTCCCCATGTACCAGCAGGCTGTTTCAAAGTTGGGAAACTGAGTCAGGCTGCCCAGTTTCAACCTTCTTTCCACTTCGTAGGCTCTGGAAGCCACAGCAAAGAACCGTTCAGTGCACTGAGCCCTGAGCAGGCGACACTAAAGGAGGGTGAGTCCACACCACGGCCGGCGGACACGACAAGGCCACAGCAAGGCCACGCCCACTCAGCCTCCCTGCTGGGCCCTGCATGGAGAGGTGGACCGGGGATCACATTGGGACGAGCACCCTGCATAGGGTAAGCCCCAAGGGCCATGGCTCCCAGAGACAGGGGTCACCAAGGAGAAGGCAGCTCGGCCTTCTAATTCACCCCAAACCTCCCACGGCCACAGAGACTGTCCAGCGACCAGGCACTTCGGGGGCCTTGGTGAGACCTCAGTCCACCTCCTCCTTCCTTTCACACACACATGGGGGCCTGGCCAGGTGGACGGTCACGCCCAGGGCTACGCACTGGCCAGGCTCAGCTGAGACTCAGAGGAGGTGCCGTCCCAGGGGAGGTGTGGACCCTGCCTGGCGGAGCCCGGGGGGCAGCACAGCCCTACCTCATCTGCATCTCCACACTCAGGCTGTGGAGGAAATGTCCCGCGAAGGCCAAGCAGTCCACGGGAGTGAGTGTGGCGTAAATCCAGCCTGGGGGAGACAGGGGCATGGCTAGGCCTCCACAGGCTCTCACCCTGGGTTCTCAACCAGCATGGGCTCCTGCCAGCCCGTCCTCAGTGCCCTCGTCCACCCGGGGCCCCTGGAAGGAGCCCGGCCCTGGCCCCCATGTAATGGGTGGGTGGGCCCTCCAGGTAGGAGGGATCAGGTCTGAGCTGGCCCAGTCTGTTCAATGCAACCCCACACAGTACAGACAGGGAAACCAAGGCCCTGAAGTGGAGGGGACTTGCTCAGGCCCACCCCAGGGTCGGGCTGCCCAGCATCGCCGACCTCTCCCCACAGGAGCGGAAGGAGACAAGGCAGGGCTGCACATCCCCGGGAGAGCCAGGTGGGCCCTCATCGTCCTCGGAGAGGGGCCTGAGCCAGGCTGTGGCAGTAACCGGGATGGGGAGACCGGGAGGGAGGGACTCGGAGGCACAAAACCAGTGGGAATGTGAGGCCTCCGTAAAGACAGCGAGAAACCTGACACCGACCGGCTACTTGGCCACACTAACAAATCGTTAACTGTTAGCTTTTAGGGTGTGATGACAATGTTGTAATTATGTGATTTTTAAAAGGAAGCCTCTTGGAGAAGGCGGAACATCTGTGGGTGACGAGTGTGGCATGTGAGAGCATTTGTCTGCTGCCGTCACGTTTCCTCCCGCTGCGGAGTCTGAAACGTCGAGCTCAGCAATCACCGTCTGATGGAGGGGCCGGGCTCTTGGGACCGGCTCTGTGGGCCACGCCACCCCATGCCCGTGGCCCGGCCTCTGTCAGCACCACCAGGCGGGAGGCTGCAGGGGCTCGTGGCCCCGAGATGACCCCAGAGGTGACCGAAGAGCGGGGCGGGCCCCAGTGCCAGGCAGGATGGCAGACTCGGGAGAGCCCAGGGCAGACGGCACAGGGCAGGGCGCTCACCGGAGGGGACGAAGAGCGTCTGGCCCTGCTTGAGGGTGCACTTGTAGCACTTGTCCACCTGGTCAGCAAAGAACATCTCGCTGTGGTTCGAGGCCGACTGCCAGCGCTCGTACAGGGAGATGTTGGCGGAAGCCGGCTTGATGAGATAGAAGATCTTCTCCCCCTGCCAACGAGAGGCCATTGGCAGAGCCTGCCACGTGCCAGGGATGCTGAGGGGGGCAGAGCCCCCACGTCCCCAGGATGCTGAGGGGGGCAGAACCCACTGTGTCCTGGGGACACTGGGGTTCCTGGTGATGGGTCCTGGTGTAAACGCCATCCGGCCTGGGCCCACTGCTCCCCCCCTGAAATGTTGGGGCCGCCTGTGCCTTGCAGTTAGAAATCTTCGTGGTAGGAAGGTTCCAGGCATAGGAGCCCGGCACGGTGGGGCACCCTGCCACCCCACACGCTGCCTCTGTGCAGCACTGCACTAAGGAGGCTGCAACCCGCCGTCCGGCGAGCCACAGCAAAGCTCTGCTCCTGAGAGCAGCTTGGGCCCTGGGTCCCAGCGGGAGATGGAAGGACGCCCCTGCCAGGCCCCAGCCCTGCACTCGGACCAGGAGCCGCGGAGGCCCCCACACCTGGGCGGACAGCAGGCGGGATCTGCTCGAGGCCCCACAGGCTCAGAAGCCGAGCTGCCCAGAGCTGTCCACCCACCTGGCTCCAGCAGGCCTGGGGAGGCCTGGGGCAGCTGGGCCAAGGCCTGGGGTCCCCTCTCTCGTCCGTCTTCATGTCTATCTTATCCCCGGCTGCCCTCTTCGCCGCAGCCTGGGGCCCCCAAGCACCCCGGCCACTCAGACACCCCCGCAGTCCTGCCCCCAGCCCCTAGCCCACCCCTCACACTCCTGTGGAGGGCCCCGGGGGGGCACGCTCTCTTGTCCCCTCTTCCAGGACGTCCTGCCAGCACTGCTCTCCCTTCCAGACATGAGCGGCCACTGACCACTCAGTCACCACTCCAGTGGGCCTCGCCCGATTGCTTCACGAGCCTCAATCTTTAGAGAAAGGCAACACACGGGTGCTGCTCTGGGCCCGAGGCACCCCCGCCCCCCACGTCTCCCAAAGGCTGGACGTCTGTGTCCCTCCCGTGGAGAAATATCTAGTTCTCGTCCTGCCTGGTGCTGGCCGCCCTGAGGGCTGGTGGGGGCCGCAGACGGTCCTGCAGACCGACAGTGCCCGGCTGAGGCCCCCGAGGGCAGCACGGGGCCAGTGCCCACCTTCAGCACGTGGTACCAGGCGGAGGCGCCCCCGGAGTCGATGTGGAAGTCGGTGTAGCTGTCCTTCACGCAGATCAGGCAGTACTTGGTCACCTTGGGCTTGGCCAGCAACGCGTCGTCTGGCCAGTAGTTGTCCACCCAGGACAGCTTCTTCACGATGTCAGGCGGCTCCACAAAGCTGGACATTCTGGGGGCGGGGACAGGAAGAGCCTCAGCGGCGACGGGAACCACATCGATCATGCCCCAGGCAGGGCGAACAGGTGCTGAGAGGCACGTCCCACACCCAGCCCTCCACCCCGGGCCACGCAACCTGGCTCCCATTCCACAGGTGAGCAGACGGAGCCCAGCGCCGGCCAGGTGCGGCCGTGGCAGGCGTCTAACGCTGGTCTGCCCACCGCAGACGGGCGTGGAGAAGGCCTGAGAACCGTCCACCCCAGGGACACCCCTTCCTGGAGAACTGGAAAGGGAGACTGTCTGACGTCCCAGTGTCTGGGCACGACAGGGCCCTGAGAGGGGACACTTCCCACGCACAGCCCAGTGCCTTTCCGTGCCGGAGCGGACAGGCGCCCTCGACCCCCAGCCCCGTGGGTCACTGTCAGACCAGCTCACTCATTTCCAGGGAAGATGCGAGAAGGCGGAAGCAGCTCTGATTCGATTACTCATCACTGTCCTGGATAAAACCCAGACGGCCAGCTCCAGGCACCCATGCAGTGACCCAGCACTGGGTCTCGGCACCCCACTGCCTCGGGCGGGGTGGGACCCGCACACCTCTGCTGAAGGCCACGCCCGCCCAACAAGACCGTCATAAACCATGACCCCATGGCCTCAGTCACAGGCGCCCCTCTAAGTCTCCGGCACATTCCAAACAGGAATCCGTCCCCGTCCCCCGGGAGCCCTCACCGCCCTCTGTGCCCATGCCCCTACACTCTGACCCCCACGGTCCAGGCACAGCACTGCCACAGGAGAGAACGCCCGCCCACCAGCTGGGGCCCTCACGCCCTCGCACACCACGGTGAGGCACAGCTGCCTCCACCTCCCGACTCAGCCCTCGAGTCCCTCTCTCCTCGCTCGGGTGCAAGGCCAGCCCGTTCTGCCACCAACGCCAGCTGCTCCCTGAAGCCTTTCAGAGACCCCCGGATTAAGGGCAGGTGTCCCCTGCCCCCGTGGGGGTCTGAGGCCTCCATGGGTGAGACTGCAGAGGTGACACCGTGTGTCCAGGTGACAGCAGGAACACCACCCTCCATCTGCTGCAGAGTGGGCGCCTCCATGGTCAGGGGGTGCGTTAGTCACTGCAGGATCCTTGAGAGCCGCCCCGACGGCCCGTAGGGTCAGGCCTGGCCCTCGTTGCCCCAGCAGACACCTTCGGGGACAGACTGACTGATGAAGTGTGGCCCACACCTCTTCCCTGCTGGATGGAGAAGGGGACCCCAGAGCACGCTGGACAGCCCTGGCGCCGAGATCATGGATGGCCTGGTATGCAGTGTGCACAACCCTCCCACAGTCCTCGTGGGTCAGAGGACACTGGAGGCACCACACATTTTTCTGCCAGGAACCGGGTGGCCCTGAGAGGCCCAAGGGGAAACCCAATGCCACAGCACCCTGTCCTCCTAGCTCATCATCCCAGCGTCTGTGCGAAGACCCCTCGGGCAGGGCAGCCAGTCAAGTTGGTGGCAATGTGACGCAAAGACCAAAGCCACACTCCTCAGACCTCAGCCTTGGAGAAAATCCCTTTCATAGACACACAGATAGAAGGCTGCTTTCTCCAGACACCATAACCTACCTTATTTCCCTTGTTGCCTTTGTTGTCAGGAAGCTCAACCAAAACCCAATATCAGTTACATTATCTTGCTATGGCTCCTGACAGGTCTGTATCCTATTTCTCAATGTGGTTTTCAATAACTCTTTTATTCTTTCCTACCTGCCCTTTTGCACAGGGGCAGTTTTGTTGACTCTGGTGCTTTTTAGAAGCAGGTAAGGTGGAAATGATCCGAAAATGAAACTGTTCTTAAACTAATCAACTCACGCCCAGCAGTCAGCGAGTGTACCGGATCTTTCCCAAGGGGCCAGCTGGGGAGCAGCGGGGTGTGACACAGGGGGCAAAAGGGGCGGAGTCGGGGTGGGCACAGCCAAGCAGGTGGTCCTGGGAGAACAAGGTCACGGGGTCAAGGGGCAGAGCTGGCTTCTGACCAGCCTCTGACCTGGAACTAGCCCAGACAGCCATGGCGCATTGTGCGGGGACCTGGTCCCTGAGAACGGCAGCCGGTGGGGGGACACGATGACGGGAAACGGGGAGGCCACATGGGGGGCTCGGGCTGGGAGTGCAGGGACGGCAGGCACAGAGCGGCTAGCACGATCCCACTGTGCTGAAGGTGCGAATGGAAGTGTGCGGGTGAATGTGTGAGGGGCGTGAGCAAGTGTGTAAGCACGTGTGCACATCAGTGTGGTGCAGGGGTGGGCAGCAGCATGCACACCTGTGTGGGTGTGATGTCTGCCTAAGCACGTCAGTGTGCCCGTGCACGCGTGTGTGTGAGTGTGTGTGCACGTGTTCTGAAGAAGCTGCTCCACGCTGTTAGCGACGGGCATCTCTGGGGACCGGGGTTGGGGCGGCAGCGGAGGGTTTGGCTTTTTGCTCCGTACTTCCTGTCTGAATTATGCACAGTGCGGACTCTCATACTTGAGAAGGGAAACAGCAAAATCATGCCGGGCGCCGCGTGCCGTGGACCGGGTGCCGTGTGCCAGGTGTGGGTGCCGGGGGCCGTGTGCCCAGTGTGGATGCCAGGTGGGTGTGCCGGGGGCCGGGTGCTGGGGGCCAGAGTCCGGGTGCCGTGTGCCGGGTGCGTGTACTGGGGGCTGGGGACCAGGGGCCGGGAGCCGTGTGCGGGGTGCATGTACCGTGTGCCAGGTGCGTGTGCCGGGTGCTGGGGGCCAGGTGCGTGTACTGGGGGCCGGGGGCCAGGGTCCGGGTGCCGTGTGCCGGGTGCATGTACCGTATGCCAGGTGCGTGTGCCGGGTGCTGGGGGCCGGGTGCGTGTACTGGGGGCCATGTACCGGGTGTGTGTACCAGGGGCCAGGCGCATGTACCGGGTGCTGGGGGCCAGGTGCGTGTACCGGGGGCCGGGGACCAGGGGCCGGGGGCCGTGTGCCGGGTGCGGTCCTGCACGCCCCGGCTGGAGCTCACCTGGTGTCGGAGAACTCGAGGTTGGTGAGGTTCAGGACGCGCCTGCGGTTGGTGCTGTAGTAATAGTCCACGAACTCCTTCAGCTTCATCTTGCAGTCCTTCTGCTTGGTGACGTCCGTCACGTCCACGCTCCGCTCTGGGCCTGGGGGGCGGGGGGTCGGTGAGCACGCCAGACGCCGGCGCGGCCTCCACCAGCTCAGGCTGGGACTGCAGAGGGGACACTCGCCCGCCCTCGCCCCGGGGAGGCTGCCGAGGGCAGGGCTGGACGCTGCGGAGCTGGGCTCTAACGGCTGAGCCCTCCCTCGGGCCGCCAGGAGGACCCGTGGAGCAGTGGGGCGGCCGAGTCACGGGCCGCAGCCAGGGCGGCCATATCAGCAAATCAAATACAGGACGCCAGGTAAACTCCAGCTTCACATAAACAACGCAGACTTTTAGTGTAAGTGTGTCCTGAACAATGCTTGGGACATACCTACACTTTAAGTATTGAAAGTCAAAACTCCTGCATTGCTAGGGCACCAACTTACTATTCTAAAAAATGAAAAATAAAAGAAAAACATTTATCCTGCATTTTCTGTAGTTAATGAGGAAAAGTTCAGGGTAAAAATGGTTGATGCCGGAAAGAAAGTGCCAGATAACCAAGTAACTGATAAGGGAAGGTGCTTTATAGAAGGCTCACAATTAACAGAGGGAGAGAGAGCACAACTAGCAAACCTCCTCCACGACAGCGCTCCACAGCGGCTCCAACCACGGGCTAAGATGGAGCCTTCTGTGGACGGCAGAGGCTGCACTGCTGGGCCACTGACGAACGTGGGGGGAGCACCACACCCCAGGAAGGCGTCCTGCCCACACCCTGGACGCGAGTCTAAGCAAGGCTCTGACCTCGTGCACAGGAGCTACCGGGGACAGAGGAACGAACACGCCACAGGACCCCACAGGACACCGTCCACCAAGCCCCCAAGGTGGGAACTTCTCCAGGACCAAGAGCCCTGTTTCTCCAACAAACAAGGGAACAGAAAGGGGGTGGGGCTGTCACAGATGCAGGAGATTGAAGGGCATCAAAACCCCGTGCGGCACATGGGTCTCATCTGGGTTCTGACTCGAACAGCCAAATGCAAAACGGTGTTTTTGAGGCAGCTGAGGAGAATGAAAGTGGGCCTTCAATGATATTAAGGAATTATCACTAGTCTTGCAGAGTACAAGAATGGAACTGTGGTGATACATATTGTTAAATCGCCTGTTGGAGCATGTACTGGAGTTTTGACATGTGAAATGCTGGATGGACAGAAGAACAGCAAAAGCTGGTGGGTTCTGTGACTGGTACTGGGCACGTGGGGGTTCACTGTTTACTCCTCACTTTGTGTGTCTGAAAAGTGCCATTATAAAAAAATTGAGGGACAGCTAATTTTCGACAAAGGTGCTAAGAACATACAATGGAAAAAGGAAAGTCTCTTCAATAAATGGTGTTGGGAAAACTGGACAGCCACATGCAAAAGAATGAAAGTGGACCATCTGCTATCGCCATTCACAAAAATTAACTCAAAATGGATCAAAGACCTGAAGGTGAGACCCGAAACTATAAAACTCGTAGAAGAAAATATAGGTAACACACTATTGACATTGGTCATAAAGGAATATTTTCGGATGACATGCCCACCCAGACTAGGAAAACTAAAGAAAAGATAAGCAAGTGGGACTTTATCAGATTAAAGAGCTTCTACAAGACAAATGAAACCAGAATCAAGATGAACAGACAACCCACCAGCTGGGGAGAATATTGCAAAACATACATCTGACAAGGGGTTAATCTCCATAATATATAAAGAACTCACACAACTGAACAACAAAAAAACAAACAACCCGATCAAAAAATGGGCAGAGGAAATGAACAGACACTTCTCCAAAGAAGATATACAGATGGCCAATAGGCACATGAAAAGATGTTCAACATCACTAAT